AGTAGTGGTGAAAAGCTGTGGCTATCGAGCCGATGCACGTTGTTTCCAACACCTCAAATTGTTAAAGTTGGGTACCGTGGTTTATTAAAAAGCACACTTAACATTTTTTATGTGTACATTGATTAGTGCTCTAAAAATAGATTGTTTTAGGAGCTTTGAGCCGAATGTCAACTATTTATCTGCTTAAAGAGCCCTACGAAAATTGGAAGCGAGAACCAAGTTTTGACATTAATTTGAACTATTTTGGCTAGTCGTATGCAACAACTAAGTTCCATCCATCCATGCGTCCAAGTACTGTGCCTCTGACAGTTCCAGAATTTTCCTGGAAATCCCAAAAGTCAGTTTCATTCCATCGAGTGGTCAAGGTACGACTACTGTGTAGAAACACTTCCACAACGAAGAAGGTGGACGCTGCATACATAGAGAGGGAGAGAGTGACAGAGCTGGAGATCACTGTGAGCCCTCAGTGAGTCACTGCCAAAAACAAAACCGCTTCAGAACAGCGCATTGGCACGATGAGTAAAAAGACAACCTTCTCTTACCACCTTAAAAGGTGTATATTTTGTTTTTTTAAATTAAATAGTGATTTAAGACTAAACTTGTATTTTCATTTGGTAATTAAGATGTAGGCATTTTGTCTTTTTTTGCATTGTTGCCGCCGCTGAACATGTGTCGTTGGAATTTGTGCCGATCTTTTTAAATGTCACTTTGAGTGAGCCATTTTCTTATGGAAATACTAAATGTTTTTAGGTTGGGTATTCCGAATTTCACAGTACTTTGCCATCGACTAACCCCCTCCACTGTCTAGCTATTCCACTTTTACAGCACATGTTTGCCTCGGCAACCAGAAGAACTTTCTCTCTCATACACTTCCACACCTCCACCCCTCACGGGCAAGAATGAATTCACGTTACGGCCCTTCTTCTCGAATACTTTTGTCAGACTTGCAGTGGTCTCTTGCTGAACACTACGGTTACACTCATGTAAATAATTTTTTCTCCAAGTTCTTCTTCGAGTGGTATTGAAGGAGTGAAATTGTTTGATCTTTACCGAGGAGTCCCACATTAACATTTTCGTCAGGCCAGCGTCGCCTTCCGCGTGTCTTAGAAACATAATATGGAAGGTGGGTGGTTGGAATATGAATAACAAATGTTAAAATATAAAGCCTTAATAAGCACCAAGTCAGTCAGACTGCGAACAGTACAAACAGCTAACTTGTAGTTGGTGGAGAGAATAGGGAATAAATCCGTGGTCAACTAGTCGTGATGCTGTCACTTGCTAAAAACCATCAAGTTCTAGTAAGATGAAAATCAAAATGACGAGCAAATGATTACAGGGCGGTAAATGACACCTCCACTTATGGACTGATACACATCTGCTGGAGCACTTTGCAAGTCCTTCTAATTTACGATTAGCGTATGTACTTCTCTCACTCCATTTTTATCAGTAAGCATTTTCTTGGAAATAAGGGCAAAAAAACATTTGATTGTGGAGTGATGGAATTTGTGTCACCCTTAGACGAATCGTCTCATCACTAACAACTGCCTTTATCCTGCGTGGGAATTTAAGTTTATTAACAAGCGTTAAACTCCGAATTTACCAAAGTTAACAGAACCAAACAGTTCGATGCCAGGAGTTGGAGGACTATTAAGCGGATTGTGATTTACCTAAATCTTTCAACTCGGTAGGCCTAGTGTTTGGAATGAAACAGTCATTTTCGTGACGTCTCATTCTCTCTAAATTTGTCAACGACACTTCTGAAAGCCTTACATTCCGAAATGCAGATCGCTTTTCGCCTGAACCATAGTGAAAACGCCTAAAGCCCATTTGAAGGAAAAGCCACCACACACCACTATTCATCGTTCTGCATATTTTTAACTCAGATAGATTGCTTTTTTTATTAGCACATCAAAATAAAGGGAAATGTAACAGTCTCTGATTTTAAAGATAAATAGGTGCTAAAATTTGCAAATGTATTAAAGTAAAAAACTTTTCCGGTGCAGAATAAAACTACGTTTGAAATTCAACCACATAATTAAGGAACATTTATCTTTTTTGAGGGTAGCGGTTCCACGCTCAACTATGCACTGATAATTGGATTGCCTCCAAGTCGTTGTGTTAACGACTGACATTTAACGCAAACCAAAATGAGTATTGCTGAAATGGAATTAACCAATGAAGGCCAGCCTTGAAATGCCTCAATTTGATTGGTCGGTAGGGCGGGGATGCTATTTTCTTCCTTTCAGAGACCCCGACACCTTCATCCTTTGATGCCTTCTAATGCACGTATGTTCAATTTTCTTTAATGAATCCTTATTTTCCAACATGCAAAAGATTCAATAGTTTTTTGTAACTTGTGTTACGAGCCACTACTGCCTTGCTGACACCAAGAGTCACTGACGTTCAAATTGCTTTAACAATGAATTTCCACCAATTTACTTTGGTAAAAATCAGTTTTAAAACATCTTCATGTGCTTAAAATGAAGTTCTTGCTATCGTTTATGTTTTGGGCGAGCTAAAAAGGCAGTGGTCGTGTTAATACCTAATGGCTAAAGTACACTTTTATCCGGACTTTTGTGCTAAATCACGAGAATTTCATGGAGAACGAGAAATTCATGGAGATCCTGACTTAGATTTTCTTACTTCTATGTTGACTATTTCACTTACCGACCTTTACTTTTACTCCATGCATCCCATTTCTCGCTTCCAGATGTAAATTTTGGCACTTTTGTGCCATGACGAGCAAATAGGCTTCTTCTTAAAGATCTTTACACTAAGGTGGCGACAAAGACATCCACATTCTCTTACACGGAAGGGACCTATTTGCCTTTGCTAAAACATCCAAAATCTCAAGTTTCTATCATGGACACTAAATCAATCTTTGTCGTCATTTCAAAAGCCAATAAGACAGAATTTCAATGACTCCCTTTTTTCCTAACAAACAGCAGACATCGGCCTTGACGACATCTGCCTTACTTCTTCCACCCAAACTTATAACTTATGAATGCATAAACCACTTTACTTAAGCCCAAAAATTGTTCCATAAATGGCCTTTGTCAAGAAAGAGCCTTGTAAAATTTTATGTAAGTTCAGTTTATAGATGTAGGACTCACTATTTCCGAACCAATGCCTCTAAATCGTGCACCCGAGGGACCTAATAAAAAACGTGAACACTCCGTTTCAGAGGCAGCTCTACCCTTTAATTATGCAAGCAAGAATGCATTTTTAACTGCATTTTATTAGCTTGAGGTGGATTTTCATCGCATAAAGGACTGTTTTCTTTTAATATAACTTGTATCACTTCATAAGCGCACCTCGTTGAAAGCCGGATGTCGGGAAATTCATTTGTACTAACAAGCAGAACAAAATGAAGTGCCTTTGTGAACCTTTTCTAAAGGTGGCGCACACACCTTCCCCCACCCGTTAACATTTCGCCTTTAATCCTCAAAAATGTGCTCATGGCTACGAGTAGTGCAAAAGTTAGCTGGTGTTAACAATGAAAGACATTCTTACCGAGACCGATCCTGTTTGTGCACAAGTTTGGGAGGGGGAATTTGCAGGCCTCCTTTTAACAAACCGCTCAAATTGATTTTGTCTATTCTTGTGAGTTAGCGTTGCTGAGATGAGCGCTTACTTTTATGTACAACTGAGGGCGAAATAAGCTTGCGGCCCTTAGTTGCTGCCGCTGCCCACTCTAAAGCGGTGCTTGAGGACCACGTTTCAGTGGCAAAATGAAATCATTTAACAGTGCAAGTAGTCTAGTCTTTTTAAAAAGCCTAAAAAAACATTGCAGTCTTTGTTGCATGGAGATCTGTAAGGCATGTTGTCATGCTTTGTAATAGTAGTGTAGGTGACTGAAATGTTACATCGCATGGTCGCTCCAATGGGGATTTCGGCGCACCTCCAGCAAAATCAACAACGCGATTGAGTGTAGCAAATTTAAGTGGTGTTAAACTTCTTTACCCATTCAAGTTTTCAACCAAATTCTCTTACTTGGGTCATTTTTTGTATCGCACGAACAGTCCGTCCTGTACAAACAACCATTTTACATTCAAAAGGAGGTGTTTTGCAACGCATTTGGCTGAGTAAACGAGTTAGGCTTCCAGTACTTTCCTCCGTCTTGAGAACATTTCCCAGTGATGGCTGATTAAATGACTTTATATACTTCTTCCTCACTCGTGCTTCAAGCCAGCCGTTTACTTTTCTCTCCCCTTTAACCGTTACTTTGACAACAACAAGCATGCATGTGCGATAGAATGCCTCCTTAGTAAGTCTGGAAAACAAATTCGTAATCAGCTACACCTGCACATAGTTTTGCGATTTGCGACAAAATAGGAACGAATCATTATGACAGTGCCACTTTTCCTTACTGCAATCTGGTTTGCATTGAAAGTTTGGTGTAGATCAAGGTATCCACGTGTTCCTAATTTAACTAACCACCTAAAGGCGATTGCCTACCCTTGATGTTCTTTGAAGGAAGGAGAGAAGTGAGAAGATTTTACTACATTTTGATTCACTTATTGGTGCCGTGTGGATGTTTCTGGTTCTCCCCACCTTAACGTTCGCCAATGTACCCATTTCGTTTTGGCACCTACTGACCTGCATTATGGTAACTCACAAGAGTGCACGAAGAAGTCAAGCGAGTCACTACTTCGAGCTTGAGGAGCGGATGTAGCTTTCATTAAACACTTCCAGAGTCGGATTATTACTGGGTGTGCCGCGGAGATGCGATGAACATCCACTCCAGAAAGGGCGGACATCCGCAATTTCTATTTATTTTACCGTGAGAACCCGCGCCGATGGCTTAATTTTGAAATGCTGCTGTCTGATGCCATTGCGTTGGGCGTCAAACATGATGCAAACACCAAGTAATGAAATGGCTTCGTACTTTGTGTTCGAATAACGCCTTTCGTTTTCGAGCATTGACTGAAGACTAAGAGCTGAAGGCAACGATGCCGAACCTCTCTGCAGACGATTCCTTTGATTTTTTTCTGTGCAGAATGAACGTGAGTGAACAGGACTTGGAGTACTTCCTCTCATCGCGTTTCGCTACTCATCGTTACCTTATCAACACAGCAACTATCATCACTCTCTACTCCACCGTCGCTGTGGTCGGTTTCATCGAGAACGCAGTAATTTTTGCCACCCTTGTGGCCATCGGTGACCTTCGCGGTGGAAGCGCTGCAAACGTCTTTGTTGGTGCACTCACTGTCTCCGATATGATCCTCTGCGTATTCAACGTCCCCACTCAAGTGAGTTGACAGTGCAGCTTATTTACACAAACACACAGAACTCATACCACACGCGCAGGTACTTGAATCCATGCGATAGTCAGCACTTGTTACCATAAATTGACAACGCTATATCGCCTTGTTTGAAATTTACTTTTTTTCTCATAAAAGTATAAAGCGGACGATAAAATTATCGACACTAAGTTTACGGTTTGTTGAATGACTGACGTTGTTCTTAAAACGCAAGTAGCCGCCCAACGCAATGCGAGGATTGTTTAATTTAGGAAAGGACGATCTACTTCTACTAAAATGTTGAATCACAGTGTTCGCCGGAAGGAAGTTGGTGCAATTGAGCTGGGTTTCAAGGACCCACCTAATACACAGTTTCCTAAATCCATTGCGAACTACTCTTTTTACCAAGTAACTCCATTTGTGCAATGTTACTTTGCCATAATTAATGCTGACATTTAAGTCTACCTCCAATGGGTGTCTGTAATTAACCCCTTGTCTACAATATTGTTTCCTCATAAGAAATTAGGAAATACGTCTTTTAAGGTCAAGCAACGCGTCTTTATTTAACCGCGGAAGTTGCATTTATTAAGCAAAAATTTGGATGGCATCAACTGCGAGCTGGCAAACAAGGAACGAGTATTTCTACTCCTCGATGATCAGGATAATTCGTCCTGTAATTTTCCTAATCGTGACAGTCAAACGGATGAAGAAAGTGACTAGCGCAAGTACCATCTCAAAAGTGAACGGCAATTCCCACCTAAAAGTAGCCGAGGCTGTAAGCAATACGTGCGCCTCAACTCGTGGGCTTCGTTTACACAGACTTCCAAAATTTTTTGCATTTCTGATGTTTACAAAGCCATTGAACGGAATCGAGCATTACAAGTAAAGTCGGAACTTTGAGACATGAAGTACAGACACATATCACAAGATCTGGTTGCATTTACTTCATTGACAATGCCTATTACCAAAAATGTCGGCAAGAAATATTTGTCTCTGAACGCCTGATACATTTTTCGTTGATCGGCTTTGTTGAAGTAGGCGTGCAAGCAGTGCACACAACTCTTCGAAACTATAAAATTTCGTAATTCGTTACCAAGACGCCCTTGTCTTATCAGACGCTACGTCCTACTTTGAAAAATTAAACATAGCCATAAGATCACCGCATGGAGCTGAAAGAAGGACAAGGATGACGCCTTTGTAGGCTCACACGAAGCCCACGCCCCCAGAAAACAGGGTTTCCAGCGCAATAGATTGGATGAGAAGACTGTGGGAAGGTGATGCAAGCATTGTTGTCTGTGGTTCACGTATGTGTAAGTGAGCTTTGAACAAGCAATTAATTCATGCATCGAATACTGTCCAAGCGCTTTTATTTCGTTGATATTTTGCTCGAAATATGGAACAAGTGCTTGTTCTGTCACTGGAGATCTTAAATAATTGTATTTGAACGACCGACTCAGTCATAAGCAAACTGAAGCAAGAGATGTGGGAATCATTTATTACTTCAGGCACCATTTTGTCAAAATAGAGCCGCTTTAAAATAAATGCTTGGCGTGCTTATTAGAAGCATTGATAATGTCCTCTCAATGCGAGGAATGCAAGGTGGACATCCAATGTGCCAAGTATTGTTAGCGAGAGCAACTGATTTGTATGGATGTCATTCTACATATCTGCATTTCCATACTCTCTGCATGCATAAAAATTACGTACAAATGTTGGTGCTTTTTTTCCAACTCCACCCCTTCCTCTTCCCAATTTCCATAGCATTGAGACTGCCAACAGGCCAATGTGGCATCAGAGAGACTCGTCTTACCAATGCGAACCAAATATATGTAAGAGAAATTATTCCCGCCCACCACCTTGGGGCTAAACAAAGTCTGCATTCGAAATCTGTTGCCTACTGACATTTCCTGACTTGTAGCTATCGAATAGGACACTTTCCTGTCAATACAATATGCATACACTGGGATTGTTTTGAGTCCTTCCCATTAAAAATGCCCAAATGAAAACCACAAAAGTGGAACTATCCTCCGTGTAAGAAATGTTAAGTTGGTCTTGGCGTTGGTAGATTAGCTTTCCAAATCCTGTGTAGTATCGTGACTTTCATAAACCACCTTCCTTATTTGGCTGATTACTTGGCCTATCTCATTTTTATGGCAGCAGAACTCAGATAGCTATACGTATAATTATTCTTCAACTCTGCTACAGTTTGTCATAATTTAGCTCCATTGCTTAAGGGAGGCGCGCATGACTACACCTTTACCCCTACCTTCTGAATGGTCTGTTGACCTGTTCTTTGGGAGGAACTGCAGCAATACAACAATGGCAATCAAAAGCAATGAGAAGTGGCTGTAGAACCTCCCTCTTGTCTTAAGCATTCTCAGTGCTATCCTTTGTGTCCAGTCTCCCCTACAAGCACTGTCTAGTTATTCAGATTCCATGAGACTTTGTGAGTCAGAAGTGGAGGATATGCATTAAGACTCGCAAGCATAATCGGTTTACTGGCTATGACGAGTCTTTGATGGCTCCTCAAAAACTTAAATCCAACTAGTGCCATTGTTGACACTCCTTGTCTTCTCGTTGCTCAGAGAGTGGTGGCCGCCTAAACGAAAGTCGAGCTTTTTTGCATCAGCAACACGGTTGGATAACATTTTATAATCCCACTCCCCATATAACAAGTCCGGAATTTATTAATGTTTCTCAAGATGTCAATTTAGTGCAATCCAACCGCCTGTCTTAACTATTACCAGACCGTAAAACCCCAGATGAAGTCCACTCGGAGGAAACATTAATGAATTTTTCCATGTTGAATGTTGGTTGTTTGTACTGACCCAGTGCTTGATCCTTACCCAGTGGTCATGCATCAATGCTGAGGTATGCAATTGTCTCCATTTTGGCTGTCTCTATTTTTAAGGTGTTCTCCGGTGTTATCCTCTGCAATGCCCACTTCTTGCATTTAGAGGCGGTTGTGTCGAATCAGTTCGTGAGAATAAAATACATTTGAAAGTAATCTCCATCGGCGCGAGCTTAGAAACTCTTAAATAAACGAACCAGTCACCACAGTATAAGTTCAAGATGATATTATAAAACCTCACGTATCGGCAAGATATAACGATCTCAAAATCGTGAGTTGCAGACAAAAAGGTAAGTAGAAATCTCGACGTACACATGTGTGAGCAGTCAGCGAAGAATGAATTTCAACCAACCCCAAGCTCAAATGACCATCCAAAGTGGTGCCACTGGAGAAATTTGCAAGGCATTTGTTGAAAACAAACTTGTTTGCATAAAAAAATTCGACAGTAGTTACTTAAAAGGTGCAATGAACCCCCAAAACAAAGAGAATTCCTTGAGCGCAAGGGAATCTATTATTCGCTGTTTGATATACAAAGTGTAATTCAACTAATAAGTACTGCTGTAATTTAATATCTAAATGAGTTCAAAGAAGTCGGTGTTGGTGACGCCTTTCTCAGGAATGCGAACACTCGATTTCATCATTCATTCGGCAAAGTTATTGCTTTTGACTTACTTTAAAGTTGCACCGTCTAACGAGTCGTGAGAAAGCATTGACCTTGCGTTGACAGGTGGGACAATAAGCACTGCCCGTCCAACGCGGAGGCAATTCACCAACCTACTGGTCCAACAAGTGGGTATGGACTTCCGAGAAAAGGCACAATCCCTTGGAATTTTCGGAGTCCAAAAGATAGATGTCTTTACTTGGCTGATCATAAAAACGGGCCGATGGCCTCTGGGATGGGATTTTGGTTCAATGCAAACGGCAGTTTAGATCGAGAAAATTGAATGGTGTTAGAAAAGAAAAAATCCCTCAGCTTTACTTTTTTTGGCGTGCAGGCATGTGGCTCGCCTTTTCTACTTTTTTTATACTTTTAACGATAGAGTTAAATTACAAGAATAAATTGCTGGAGGACATAATTAAAGTTGCAAAATTCTTTTGACTTTGTAGAGGTAAAAGAATTGTCACTTTTGATGATTCTTCCTTTTGAGCAATCACAACTGCAGGAGTTAATTTAAATGCTCCATTAAATGGAAGACTTTTGATGAGACAAATTGATAGGGTGGACAGTGTCGCTTCGAAGTACTTGTTGTTAGCGTATAGGTTGGCTAGTCTTTGTAGACAAATCTACGAGGGGCTCAAAATGATCTTTAAAATGAACTTGCTGAAGAAGTAACAAAAGGTGAACTAAAGTTGTTGGAGGTGTATAGGCACGTCGCTTCCATCGCTAAAGTCGTTTTAAATGAAAGCAAATGAAACCAGTTTTGCATCTCCTATTCCTCACTACACAGGAGTTCCTTAGAATCTGCTACACAGACTATAAGTTAGCATTTAGCGTCGAGTCTACAGGCCTTGTAATCGTTCAGTTCAGCTGCAGGCCTGACTGCGTTTGTTCAGAGGAAGCATCCTCATATTTGTTGATCCGATCACCGCCCAGTCATTCAAGAAACGTCAATGGCAAATCAAACAGAATAATAAAGTTCCCTCCACCAGATGGTTTTACCGTCTTCGTGTCAGAGACCTTCCTTCAAAGCGACACTAACGATCTCTCAAAGAACATGGGAGAACACTCGAAACCAGTCATTTAAAGGAGGAGCGGATTCGACTGCAGAGAGCTGTTACTCTATGTGAATGAAGGAAGATGCATAAGCATTCGATTTAAAAGTCAGCTCGTGCGCCGAAATGAATGTTTTGTTTAACTAACATTTTTAAAAAGAAAAGTAACTACAAATGGCCGTTTTATGTATCTGCTCACAACAATTCTAGTTTCAAACTCCAACACTTGTATCACAGAGGAACTAGTTAAGCTCGTGCAGTTCGTGCTGTCCTAAGCAACAAAATAATGCCCTTAACATTTCTTCCCTAATTATGGTTATAAATTCTACTTCTTTGGCAAAAATGAAAACGGTTTCTTTAAACTAAGATGGGGTTGCTGCCTTTGGTCAGTCGATCAGTCAGCCAGCTGTCAAATACACTCGGCCGTGCTTCTGCATTAAGGCCGTCCGATGGCTTGCGTGGGCAATCACTTTTCAATAGCTGTACCAACTAACAACTTCCATCTACTCTGGCAATTCTGTAGCGACAAATCGCTGGGATCACAAACTTAAACTACCTTACCCTCCAAGCATGAGCTAAATGAGATTGCAATCCTCTGAAATAATTGGGATTAGTTAAGCAAGGTTGGAGAAAGGCAGTCTGAAAATACTCCTTTGTTTTCCTCGTTCGCACTCCTTTGTTACTGTCTAGATATCTATACCGTAGAGTATTTTCCTCTGTCGCACTTCAGTCTTTCAAAAATTGTAGTTCTCTCTTCTGAAGAGGCAAACACCCTAACAATTCCACTTGGCCATTTGTTTATAATGGCCAAAACATTCGAAATCATCCATCTGACATCGACCACGTGCTAAATGAAATGACAGATAGGTCAGCAATGCCTGACTAATCAAGAAGCTCTAGGATATGCCAACCGTGATTTGTCGGTGGGTTCTTTGGTATTCAACTGGTTGTCAAACCGGGTCAGAATCGAAAAAATTGGCCTTTAGCTGATAAAATGTGTTCCTTCGAACTCCAAATTCACCTATCTGCCTGCTACTACTCATTGAGGTTAATTGATGTCTGATTAAATTGAAAATGACGTATGATAAGTGACGAAAACAAAACTAGGCTCATGTTTTCAGGCTTTCAGTACAGGGGCTGTGCAAAGCAAGATTTGAAAATGAGATATGCAAATAAGTGAGAATGAGGATGCAAACACCATTTCAACTCGAGGCAGATGATCGTGCAAATTTATCGAACCAAAGGTCATCGCTGTAGCGGTAAAGCCATCAGTATCAAGTCGTTGGTGCGCTCTGCTGCAGTTGCGATTGCACCCGAAACACATTTGCGACAGTCTAGTCCACTTCAACTCAAATCGGATGCATCTGATTAGGAGGACTAATGGCAGGCGCTAACACATCCACTTGTGTGAGACCATTTCGATAGAGTTGAAACTTCACTCGTAAAGAGTTCAAATATCGGAAAATGCGGGTGGTAGTGCAACACTTCGTGGACTCCAGCACAAGGGTAATAGTATTCTTGTCTCCGCATGACATCAGACGAATAGTGCCAACGCAATGGCATGCGACTGTCTACCAAAGGGGCTTGATTTTAAAGACATTCCTCATACCTCGCTGTTTGGAATTTATTACTCTGCAGTTGACGTAGAACAAGAAGGAGATTAGGTACTTTTGAGGCATTGATGCACCCATCGTAACTAATTATCTTCATTTTCTCTTTTAGCCTTGTACAATGCAGAAGTCACTTATTTTTGAATTGCCATTGCCCACTGACAGCACTTGTGATACCATCGGCGTTTAGCCACAAAAAAAGGCCCAGAGAAGAGTCCATAAATTATGCAAAGAGCCCCATAAATTTGTGGCTTTTAAATCTCTTACAAGAGTAGAATTCTGTCCGTGCTCACAAGCACATATTTTGCTGGTTACAGCTCTACTATGAGTTGGGCGAGCCAAGTGAGATGTCTGCTATGGCATGCCGCGTCTTGTTTGCCAGTCTCGGTGTACCGACACACGTTTCCTGCATCCTCATTCTCCTCATTGCCATTGACCGCTATCGCAACGTCCGTTTCCCTACCGTTTTTGCCTCCTCCGCTGCAGCAAGTGTCTCTTCTGCCGGTAGTGGTGGGAGCAGCATCGCCATTAGGCCACTACGCTCGGCTACCGCACTCTTCCTTGTTTTCCTTAGTGTCGTTTTTAGCATTCTCGCAGCATTTCCCGTGGCCTACTACACAGACGTGCAGCAAGTCTCACCCCAAACTTTCGCCGTCGATCTTAATGCCTCATTACTTCCCTTTAACACTTCGTCGCCTGATGTCGTTGCCCCAAGCGATAGAGATGTATCAGGTATGTAAAACGTCCCTTATATTAAAATTACTAGTGTATAAAAAATGCAAATATTAGTGTGATTCTTAACCTAGTGTCTCTGAAGCTGCATCAGATTTCAGCTATACCATTGTTAATTGTAATTCTTTTTCCGCAATACTTGGACGTCTTAATTTTAGAGCAGTGTTGTGTCCTCGTGCTTTGTCATACAAAAACGTAAAAGAGGAATAGCCCTCCACTTAGCCTTTTTCGAAAGTTCTTTTGGTTAAAGTCAGGCTTTTGAGTAGCATATTTCGAGTAAAATTGGTCTACACTCTCGTCACTCAATGAATTATATCTTTCTTTAATCAGAATTGCGCATGATTGCTCGCCTCTTTCACCATTTTCCGAAAATATTCCACGTGTTGAGAGCAAGATGGAAGGCATGATTTTCATGTTCCATCGCAACTCCACTAAGGGTGAATCTTGATAGATGTGTTGCGAATCAAACGTCTTGCGGCAATGAGCCCTTGCTCATAAGGTCTTCTGTGAGCTACCACAAATACCAATTTTACGCCTTCGTTCAAACAAAAGATCCCTCACCACTACGCACACCTCCATGTGGGGATTATTCGCAGCACTACTGCCACTGCATGGCAAACACAGTACTCTGCATGCCTCACCTCCGCGACTGCAACTCCTTCTTTGCATTCTCATTGCTCTTTCCAGTCCACTTTCACTCAAGGCTGTAAGCATATTTCGTATGCTTACAGCTTAACTCCACGTTAATGATTGATACGATAAGAACTCCGTCATCGGTTCCACCATAGCGTAGACTACACAATGCCAAAAGAGCGAGGCCCTTACCACAGGAGTCGCACTTGCGTCCCTTGAAGAAGTTGCATTTGCTCGATGTCTACGGGGAGGTGCTAATTGTCGCACCTTACTATTTCGGTCTGGTGAAGTCGAGCACGCACACACACACACATTCGCAATGCCGAGACGACATTTAAAAAATAGTCCCTCTCATCAACAAGCACAGCCTACTCGGATGATGTAGTGGTGAGTGGAGGGAGCACACAATGCCTCTCCATTGATCAGGTGAGCGACGAGACGGTCACGACACCTGATGCAAGAGTGTGCAACCAGGTACAAGGTCGACTTTCAAAGTCTGGAAGAAAGAGTCGTCTGCAACGGCTCCCATTCGCCTCTTACTTTAAGAGACTTCTAGAAGAAAATCACAGGAACTTGGGGACTGCATACTTGTCATTAGGTGAAGGAAGGTAAACAAAATGGTATGGTTTTAGTGCATATCTGCGTTGTATGGCGAGGCACCGATGCACCTTACTCCTGGGGGCGCTATGTGGTCTCAGACCCTGACTTGTTACGACCTCATTTCGTTCTGCCTTCGGAGGAGCTGACGTTGTTGGCGCTCCCATTTCATTTTGTTGCATGTGCGAATGATAGTACAATCGACTTGCATCCATGCGTGGTGGAAGACAAGCATGCGGTTCCCGCATCTCACACTTCGCACCCCATTTGCTAGCCAATGTCAGTAGACGTCTGTGATTGCCATTCAACTCTTCGCCTCTTCCATGGAATGCACTAGAAGGGTCACGTAATGCTACCTAACTGACTGATCGGCCAATGACGAGGAATGGCTTTTGTCCTACATGGATCGTTGAGTGAACGCCCACTCACTACCTGACTACCAATTTGCTATGCATACTGGCAAGTGTGTGTGTGTGTGGTTGTGTGCAGAGTGAGTTAGGAAAACCAGTATCTGGACAGTAAACATCAGGCGACGCCTGCATCTGTGACCTGCCCACTCAAGTGGGTAAACTTTGTCACCAAAGCGGTCCGTTCTAACCTTTGTCTCCACCTCTCACTGCATTCAGCGCCACCTGTAAGAGAGATTGGTGCACGCTGGAGTAAGGATCGGTATCGTGGAGGGAAGTGGACAACAACTCGATCTTCCGCAAGTCCTGCAACGCCTTACTTTCCTGTTGTGTGTGTGTCGTTCTCACGGCATGGCATCATAGTCAGTCTCCCAAATGGAAGGCAAAATGGTCACTTGCTTCACAAATGAAGCAGTGGCACAAGTCTGGTTGAAGCGAGGCTCTGGTTACTTTGGTGACAAAGAGTGGCTAATTACCTAGCCACTGTCCGTCCTCAGTGTATGCAACAAAGCTTGAAAGGGCAACTGCTCAAAGGTGGGTGTATTTGGGCAGCAATTATGGCGGCTTCCCATCAAC